AGTTGCTGGATTCTATTCTCAACTATCCTGACATCCTGCTTCCTAATCCATGCTTTACGCTAACCAAAGTTATGTTCACTATTTGTAAGTGTTACGGTCACTCTCCAAATGTCAGAGTTTTTAAGGTTTTTATTTTCTTCAAAGTAATACATTTTTTTCAGTACCAGGAATCAAACTCAGGATCTTGTGCTTTCAAAGTAATACATTTTAATGGGTGTAACTATAACGTAGTTTAATATAGTGTCTGTATAGCCTCTTTCATGTATATATCCGCCATCCCCTCTTCAAAGTGTCCTTGTCACACCTAAGGAAGCAAGCACATGCTATAAGCACCAGTTCTTTTATCTTTCAAAGAGAAAAAATATAGTACATAGTTGAGACAAAATAATTTATCACAATATATACAGCAAGCCATTAGCAAAGTCAGAAATGGTATCCAGGATAATGTAGCTTACACTGCCCACTCCAACCACTGGTTTTCAAGCTTCTCCCTTTATCCACTCGAAGTATACCACAGAATTCACACAACACTGAGTCCTCTGAGTAATTCTGACCATGTCAAACTCTACTTTCCCTCTTTTCTGCCTAGTTTAATGGGATGAGAAGATACTTCAAGTAATGCTCTCTGGATTTCCTTCCTTCCACAAGAACAAGTCATTTTTTCACCTGTTAAGCAATTTCTCTACCCAGGAACCACACTCAGCACTTTTCTAAGCTAGCCTGAAATTAGTCAAACCTAATATGTAGATTTTAACTTCAGTGGATTACACAACTGAGATTTTGAATATAGACCTTTTTAAATTGGTTAATTTAATTAACATTAAAAGAATTTCCCCCTGGAAACTACAACAAGAAACACACTCCTTTCAGCTTAAAGCTTTGAGCATTACCACCTGGAACAACAGACCACCTGCCCTAACTTTCATCAATAGATGATTACCCATCAAAGCACCTAAAAAGAAATAGCTGTGGTCATGTGAACTCATGGGCAAGAGAATCATGGGACACAGTAATTGTTCCAGTGTTGCTTGGCAGAGGGCAGCCTTCTTGAGATGACAAATGCCCCGGTATTATGGCCTGTGTCCCCCTAAAACCTCATATAGTCCTAGGTAGGCTTTTTCTGAGGTGGCTGGATCGAGAGTGTGTGATTCACGTGTGATTCATGGAACAAGGTTACCAGGATTAAGGATGTGAGTGCTGGTAAAAATTCCCACATTGTGGGTTGTCTCTTAGCTCTTCTTGTGATTTCTCTGGCAGTGCAGAAACTTTTTTTAAAAAGATAAGATTCCAACTGTTGATTCTTTGAGCTAGTTCCTGTGCTACAGAGGATTTGTTATAGCATATTTTTGGATTTTGCTTCTTTATCCATTCTGCCAATGTAATTCTTTTTATTGGTGAATTGAGGCCATTGACATTGATGGTTATAGATGACTTCTATGACTTATCACTGTCATGTTATTTTCCTGTTGTTAGTTCTTTTTTATTTTTCTCCCTCTCCCTTTAAATTCTTGCTTATTGGATATACTCTGTTGGGCCTCGTGGCACTGTGACTTTCATTGTCTTTTTCTAGGATATTTTAAAAAATTGTTTGGAGTGTTGGTTTTATATCATGAAGTTACTCAGGTGTTCTTTGTCATGAAAGTATCTTATTTCTCCATCAGTTTTGAAAGATAGGTTTGTGGGATACATCAGCCTAGGTTGGAGGTTGTTTTCTTTTAAAGCTTGAAATACCTTACTCTTGGCTCTCCAAGAATTTGTGTTGAAAAGTCTGTTTTGATTCTAATGGGCTTTCCTTTGCATGTAATTTGTTTCTTTTCTCTAACCACTTGTAGTATTTTGTACTTCTGTTGGGTTTCCGGGATCTTGATCATCACATACGTGTCTAGGTATAGGACTTTTTTATTATTATTATAACTAGCTGGAGTCCTATGTTTCACTTATCTGTTCTTTTGCTCTGTTTGGGAAGTTTTCTGCCATTATTTCTGTGAACAGTTTTTTATGTCATTTGTGCTTTCTCCTTTTTCTTGGATTCCTATTAATCTTATATTATTCTTCTTTGCATCATCTAGGAGCTGTTGAATTGATTGGTCCCTTACTATTTTTAAGAGATCTCTCTTTTCATCGTCACTGACCACCATCCTGTCTTTTTCTCTTTTTTTTGCCATCCTGTCTTCTATATCTGATATTCTGTCTTCAGATTGGGTTAGTCTGCTATGTACACTTTTAAAAGAGTTTTTAATCTCCTGGATATCAGTTTGAATCTGTTTCATGATTCCATTTCTTTGCTATGCTGAGCATTCGTGGCTTTCATCATGGTCCTGACTGAACTCATCAATTTTTGTATCTGTTTCTGATCTAGGGTTTATAATCATGTCTTTTATCTGGGAAATTATTTCTATTTTGAATATTTCTAGAGCCTCATTCACCTTTTTTTTTTTTTTTACTTCCTATGCTATCAGTTCAGATTGTTCAGATGGTTATCAGACTTTTCCATCTCATTTCCCCCAGATTTGTTTTTGGAAAGCTGGAAAACTGTGTCTTGTTTAAATGTCTTTTCATTTCTGTTGTTGTTGGTAGAGTCCTTGGTTTAATTCCTGGGTTAATACTTTGATATTACTTATTGTGGATATCTTTGTTGCTTGTATTTAAAACCCTTAAGAAATGGTTGCTTCTCAGAGGTGTCTTCCAGATATAACTGGTCTTTAGGATTTGAGTCTCTAATAACACTGGGGCAATCTCATTTTAATTATACCAGGAAAGACATCTGATTAGATCAATCACAACTTGTAGCCCAAGTGATACAATCAGCAACAACAATAGAATCAGACACAGCTTAGAAAATGACAATTTGTGGTGGTTATTAATGTATCATGTTTAACTGTGTGAAATAAAATGAAATCGAAGGCTAGCCCAAAATATGTTTATAATCAATAAACTGATCAATATAGTAACTTTACCCTTTGGAATGGGGACTTAGGAGTAAGGCCCTCTTACTATTATTTGCTTCTGCTCTAGCTCAAGGCAATGGCCTTTAAAGACACACACACACACACACACACACACACACACACACACGTTCCTCTGCAGTATAGATGAGGAACAGGCATAGCCAGAGGGGCAGAGTGGGTGACTGAAAGGCTCCCATCCTCACCAGTCCATTGGTGTCAGGGAGGCCTGGGTGGGGGAGGGGCTCGTGCCAAAGGCTTCACACAGCTCCCGACAGCTCCCAACCTCACTGGTCAATAACAAATGCTGGCTGGATTGTGGGGAGATAGGAACCCTTCTTCATTGTTAGTGGGAGTGCAGACTGGCATAACCACTGGGGAAATCAATATGGAGATACCTCAAAGAACTAGGATTAGAAGTCCCATTCAACCCAGCTATTTTTCTACTGGGTGTCTTCCAAAAAGAATTTGAAAAATCATACCAAAGTGATACATGCTCACCCCTGTTTATAATGACACAGTTTGTAATAGCTACAATTTGGAGACAGCCCAATTGCCTGTCAACTAGAGATTGGATAAAGAAGATGTGTTTTTTGTTTCTGTTTTTGTTTTTTATAAAATGGAGTACTACTCAGCCATAAAGACCAAGAAGACTACAGACTAGAGACTAGAGACATTTATAGCTAAGTGAATGCACATTGAGGCCATACTCTTAAGTGAAATTAATAAGACACACATGTGTAAATACTGAATAGTTTTTCTGGTATGAAACACTAAAAGTGTAAATAAGGATCAAAATGTATAATTGTGTGATAGGAAGAAAAGGTCTAAAAGAGTACAGCAAATAGGAGGGTTAGGAGAAAGGGAAAAAGGGAAAAGAAAAATATGTAAAAAGGAAAAACATGAAAATAATGTCTTTGTAAACAGGGAAGGGTGGAGGGACTGAAGGGAGAGCTGGAGAATGGGGAAAAAATAAGAACCAAGATAAGTCTTATAAAGGTACAAGATTCCACTGATGAATGTAACTGTACTGTATACCTAAATTGTACCAATAAACTTAATACAGATTTTTTTTTAAAGGATGTGAGTGTTACCCACTGTAAGCATCCTAGATAAGCTATAAGGAATAGAAAGAGCTGTAGTCATCCCCTGTTGCTTTGCTGCCTTCTGCCCACCATGAACTGTTTCTCCTCTGTGGTATCTGTCTGCCATGCCACCCTGCCTTGGAGCCAGCCAATTATGGACTGAAACCTCTACAAACTGTGAGCTAAATAAACCCTTCCTCCTTTAACTTTGAGAAAAGTAACTAACACACCCAGAAAGTGTATTTGCTCTGTCATGTGATGTAGTGTCACCTTCTAAGTCCATACATCAACTCCAGGGCCATGAAGGCAGTACTTTCCGATTCATTATGGTCACCTTATCATGTACTTTGTGCAGACCGAAAAACATACAGCAAGGGCCAGGCAAGTATCTATAAATAAATGCCCAAAATCATTTATTTAGTCAACAAACATTATGGAGTGATTAAGATATTCCAAGCAGAGTGAATGCCAAAACAAATGAATCCCAAACACGGGGAATGCACAATGGACATTTTTAAGAACAGGAAATTCCCTGGATTCAAGATTATCTGTTCCTCCACTAGCTTGAGACTAAGGCCTGGGTCCCTCCCTTTTGGGTAAGTTTTACATTTCTGAGGCCTCCACCCCCTCAGAGAACAAATGCCTAGGACAGGAGAACCCGTCCTCACTTTTACACATTCATCAGCCTAGCAGATTAATTTTTTTTTATACTGAGAAAAATCTGAGAGGGATATGATGTCAGGAAAGGAATTTCTTTTTTTTTTATGATAAAAGGTCAGAAAGGAAGGAACCAGGGAGACCAAACTCTAAAAGTAATATTTAAGGATTATAAATAAGGGTGGCATGTAGAATTACCAGACTTGCATCAGATATCACAGGGATTCTGTTCTTAGTTTGACTTTTCCAGAATATGACTGAACTTTCCTTCTGTAGCTCTACTATGTACATATGACTGTATTACTTTGGCTTCAAATACATAAGTTAACAGCAAAATAACAGTTTTTCTCCAGCTTGCCTATAATTACACATGTACATGTTCATCTGTCTGGGCAAAGTTTACAACAGACCAGTTTCCCTTCAGAATGGAACCCCAGAATGGGACCAAAGGGAGGTGGTAAAGATGCCATCTTGCAAAGTCTACAGCAGAAGGCAGGACTTATGCAAAGTATGCATGGCAAAAGACAGCCACGGTCAGCAGGATGATGCCGTTGATGTTTGTTACTGTCCTCCACAAAGGCTTCTCAGAGGTGTCTGTCAACTTCATTTTCATGGCCTCCTCCTCCTCTTTGGTCAGCTTGGGTCCTTTCTGGTCCAGCCCACAGAATAGGTCATAGGCTCTCCGGAAGCATCCTTTCTTCTCCTCGGGAACTTCTGTGTCAAGAGCAAGACATAAAGGATTACCACATACAGAACCAAGAGGAAATAGAAAAGACTTCAAGGGGGGATGCCGTACCATAGAGCATCTAATCTACTATTTGGTAGTAACTGCCCAATTTTCCCATTTTCAGGAATGGGAATAGTATAACATATACAAATTAACTTAATTACATTTAAGACAATGTTAATGATAGCCTAAATTTTATCTCTACCAGAATCAAATGCATTCTTTATTGGGGGGGGACAGGGTCTCACTATGTAGTTCACGCTGATCTTGAACTCACTATGTAGCCCAGGCAGGCCTCAAACTAGTAGCGATCCTCCTGCCTCAGCCTCACAAGGGCTGGGATTACAAGCATGTGCCATCGTGACCAGCCAAGCATCAACAGACATCCACTTTTATTTAGAACATTCAGGTCAAGTAATAGTGTATGCAAGAGAAGTATTAGCAATGGGCGGGAGAACTGTGATCTGTGAAGCACCTGGAAAGCCCACATCTGAAATACAGAAGCTCATGTTTGTTTTCTCCATCACTGGGAGGCAGTGAGGCTGGCACGACTAAGGAGTTAACTGGCTGGCTACATCTGTCAATTCCGATGGTTTGCACCGGACAAACCCTTTCTCTCTCCCATTTCTCTCACACCGAAGAGAGAAAGCCTTCATGTAGCCCTCTCTTTTGACTCACTCTATCCAAACAGTAAAACGGGGAAAGGAGCTGGGCTCAGTGACCAGGCCAAGTGAGAAATAGATGGCATCAGTGTGACCTGTTTGGTTTTGTTGTTGTTGGTGGTGGTGGTTTTGGTTTTTTTTTTTTGATACGGGGGATCAAACTGGGGTCCTTGTGCTTGCAAAGCAGGCAGCGGCACCACTGAGCTAAATCCCCGGCCCCTGGTGATCTGCATCAGTGATCAGGCTTTGGGGAAGTCTCTATGTCTCATCCGTAAAAGTGGAAAAATTATACTGGCATTACCTGCCTTAAAATGATGACTTGGTACAAAAACGAATCACTAGGTTAGGATATTTATGATTAAAATATGTCAAGACGTTATCATTGTCAGTCACACGGTGCTGGCGGTGGTGATGGTGAGGGTACGCAGATGACAACGCAGCTGCAAGACTTTCTTGTGCTGCTGCTTCTCAGAAAATGGTGATTGTGACACCCACCTGTGGTTCCTCAAGAGAGCTTAGTTTATTGTGCTTCAGTACAGAAGAATGTTTAATTTTATTCCACCGTGATCTCTTCAAGAATCAAGGGGATGGGAGGGGAAAGGAAATAAAAAGAAAAAGAGTGGAAAATGGAAAAAAAACACAAAGTCTTTGTAAATAGGGAAGGATGAAGGGGGTGAAGGGAGGGCAGGGGTATGGGGAAATAAGTCTTTGTAAATAGGGAAGGATGAAGGGGGTGAAGGGAGGGCAGGGGTATGGGGAAAAAAATAAGTACCAAGATATATCATGTAAAGGTACAAGACTCCAATGATGAATGTAACTGTACTGTTTGCTTTAAATGTCCCGATAAACTTAACAGGAAAAAAAAAAGAATCAAAGGAATTCAAGTGTCCTGAACCTCAGATGTCAGGGTGTGGGGGGCCCTCTATAGCTCCCCTGATGTCACTCCTTCCTTTCCAGACCAACTCAATTAGAAGACTCTTCCTTACACTCAATCAAGATGGTGATAATTACAGCCAATCCTTAGAGTTAAGCATTATCTTCTTTCCACAAGTGCTATGAGGTATGAAGTATTATGTAGAATACTTTTACATGAGGAGCCTGCGCTTTAAGAAAATTCACTTACCCAAAGTAATGAGAAAATAATTCAAGATTCAGTCCCAGTTGTACCTCATCCCAGATCCCACAATCTCCCTCTGCACTGTCCTATGTCCTCACCCTAAGGCAAAACTGTATGGGTTATTTTGATCCATCTGTTTTAAATCTGTTCCCTGATACAAAAATTAATCTCCTCTTCCATGTTAACACTTCCCAACACTCAAAACACTCCTCGCCCGTGTCCTTTTAAAAGTTGCAGTACTCTCACTCAGTGGGGAGACACCTTTAGCGGCAGGAGAGGTAGGGGCAGGCTCGAGCCCGCCTGCGCCAGAGAAGCAGGAAGACGCTGCCTGTTTTCAGCACCATGACCCACCGGCTGTGGCTCTGCATTCTGCCAGTGCTCACAGTCAGAGCTTCAGAACGGAAAAAGTCCTTGGAGATTAAGAGCAGGCTGTAACAGACCCAGGACCATTGACAAAGTCTCTCCCCTTCTGGGCCCCAATTTGTGTGTCTGTAAAATGAAGTAACGAGATCAAATTATCTGTAGGGCCTTTTCCAGAGCTAGGATTCGGTGACATCCTTGATCAGACACAGAGCTTGTCCCGCTTCATCTGTGCCATCCTTCAGAGGGAGCGGTGAGGCTCCAGCCTAACAATGGGGAAAGCATTGCCGTTGAGCTCCTGCTCTTCTGCAAGACACACACCCCGTTCTACGTGCAGCACTCCTCCCCTGTGGGGAAGAAAAGCTGTAGTGCCAAAGCTGAGGAAAGCAGTCATTTAAAGGGTTAGCCTCTGGACGCAGACTGAGCACCATCTCAGGCTTCCAGAGAAATCTGATTTTCTAAATCTTACGTGGTAAGCAGTTAAGATCCCACAAGCCTCTCTTCCATACCCCTGACATCACTAGAACTGAACCGAGCTACCGCTCCATCTGTTCTCGGGACGCAGGTGGTGTCAGGCAATCTCTGACTCTTCTATCCATGACTGTGCCCTAAATCAAGGCAAACACCCCAAACGTCGAGTCACTGAGCGTCACACGACATGAGGGACAGGCGGCCGGGGTAACTGCACCTCCCTCCCTTACTCTGACCAGGCTGCCTAGTGAACGTCCCAAAACTGCTTATGCCCCTCAGCCCCACCCTACTCATTTCATCCTAGAGAGAGATTTGAGCTTTGATGAGGCATTTGACGTAGGTTCCATTAAAGTTGCTGTTACGGAGTAACTATTCTTCCGGCTTGAGTCATCGATCACCTGTATCAATGGTCTCTTTCGGGTCTTCTCGGATGACCTCCTCTCCTGCGTCCAAGTCAATACGCTCCTCTTTGCTATTGCGCAGGCTCCAACACAGACGATAGAGCTGGGGAGAAAGCAGAACAGGTTAACAGGAAGGTCCAAACAGCTTCTTGGTCCAAGAAGCCAGGAGAACATAACAATGGTGCATGAGAGAGGAAAAAGAATGTGGCCTCTCAGTACCCACAAGAACTCGCATAGGAGTTCCTACCCACAGCACTACCTCTGACTATGTCGGGAACTTGGATGTATTCAGGTTGAAGCCAGACATAGCGGTCCACACATGTACTCCCAGCACTCTGGGAGGCTGAGGCAGGAGGAGCACAAGTTGGAGCCCAGCCTAAGCAACTTAGCATGACTCGGTCTCAAAAAAATTTGTCAAAGGGCTGGGGATGCAGCACAGGATTAAACCTCATTACCAAAAAAGGAAGAAAGAGAGAACACAAAGAAAAAAGAAAAGAAGAAAGGTTTGTTGAACAGATTAAATCTCTCCCTTTTTTTTTTTTTTTTCTTTTTTGGTTTTTTGAGACAGGGTCTCACTATATAGTTGAGACTGACCTGGAGTCATTATGTAGCCCAGGCTGGCCTCGAACTCACAGCGATCCTCCTGCCTCAGCCTTCCAAGTGCTGGGATTACAAGTGTGCACCACCACACCTGGCTAGATTAAATCTCTTTACACATGATAAACGAATTTGTTTCTTTTAGCATTGATTCTAGGGAACAAGACTGCACAGCCATTTTTCCAGCACTTTCTCATATTATGTGGGACACAATGAAAGCAGCTCAAAAAGGAAGTTTACAGCAGTGAGTGCCCACATTAAAAAATAGTGATCCCAAATAAATAACCTAATAATGCATGTGAAGGTCCGAGAAAACCAAAAGCAATTCAAACCTAAAACTTGTAGAAAGCTAGAAATCCTAAAGATCAGAGAAGAAATTAATGAAACAGAGATTTTAAAAATGCAATGGATCAGGCTCGGAATTTAGCTCAGTGGCACCGCACCTGCCCCGCAAGCTCAAGGTCCTGAGTTTGGCCCCTGTTACCAAAAAGAATTTTTAAAAATACAATGGATCAATGAATCAAGAAGTTTTTTGAAAGCATAAACAAGATGATAAGCCCTTAGCCAAATTTACCAAAAGGAAAGAAAAACTGGTATCGAAGTAATTAGAAATTAAAATGGCAAAATCACAACAGACAACGTTGAAATCCAGAGAATTATAAGAAACTATTTTGAAATTTCATATTGCAATAAATTGAGAGACTCTGAAAAAAATAGATAAATTCCTAGACACATATGAATTATCAAAATTGAACCAGGGTGGGGATTTAGCTCAGTGTTTCTGCCACTTGTCTCACAAGCGCAAAGACAAGAGTTCGATCCCCAGTACCAAAAAAAAAAAAAAAAAAAAAAAAAAAAAAAAAAAAAAAAAAAAAAAAAAAATTGAACCTATATAAAAATTCAGAGACCAACAACAGGGAATGAAAATAGAGGCAGTGACTTAAAAAAAAAACCTACCAACTAAGAAAAGCCACTATGAAACTTGAGACCATAATGCAAAGTGAAATAAATCAGACAGAAAAGGTTAAGTGTCACCTGATTTCTCTTATATGAGAAACCCAGCAAAATAAAAGAGAGATGGTACAAGACAGGGAATTTGTGCCGATGGGACGTGGGTGTGGGGAAGAGAGGAAGAAGAGAGAGTAGAAATGATTAAGATGCAACAGGTGTTTGTACCAATTCCCCCAAGATGAATGTAATTAGTATGTGTCACAAGCCTAAACTAATAACAAAAAATAAAAACAAAGAATATACTAATAAGAAATAAATGTAACTTTTTTTAAAAAAGTAAAAAACAGAATCATGAGACATTTTAGAAAAAGGATAGAGTAGGAGACACAGTTTCTATTGACAAAATGCACAGTATAAACCAGAAGCTTGAAGTCTGGAAATCAGGGAAATCTGTGACCACCTTGCTCTCTCTGCTGCAGGAGGAAGCACGGAGCTCGGTGTGTTTGTCGCTCTGATACTTTCAAAGGCAGATGTAAGGAGGCTGTTGGTACAACACAAAGACAGTGGCAGGCTCACTGAGCTGCCTTGTTAGTGATTCTGTAGCTACGAAGGCAGTTTTGTTTGACATTAAGATTTGTTGCAAGGCCAGGGATTCAGCTCCTGCCTCTCAAGCGTGAGGTCCCGAGTTCCATCCCCAGTACCACCCCCCCAAAAAAAAAGATTTGTCGCAGGTCTTGAAAATTTGATATTGAAGTTGAATGCCTCTTAGGGATTTCATAGGCTTTGGTATTTGTGTTTGCATGAATAAAGTGTTCGCCAAAAGTTTTTCTCTTTTTCTGTTTCTCTTTCTCTATGGATAAATATGACCTTGAGTTAATTTTATAGCTCTGTTCCCTTGGAAACCTGAAATGGGGAAAATGTCATCTGGATTGGGTTGCAAGACTATATTGCTTAAGGTAAAATAGGCAAATTGCTGATAATCTTTAACTGGATTGGCAAGGCTATAAAAATACCTGAACCAACTGGGGACATCTAGAGCTAAAGAAGTATACTTGCAATTTTTTAACTATTAAATCAATTGGACATTGATATTATACTACAGGTGAACTGTCTCCCCCAAAGCTCGTGTTGAAATTTAAATGCTTTTGTGACAATATTGAGATAATTAGGTCATCAGCCCTCATGAATAATCATTGCCATTATCATGGTAGCATTTTTCTGATAAAAGGGTGAAATTTGGTCTCTCTCTTCCTGTCTTCGTTCCTTCTCTCTCAGTTCCTCTGTCCATCCATCTGTCTCTTTCTCTCCTCCTCTCCCTCCCTGACTCCCTCATTCTTTCCTTACCATATGTTACTTTTCACCATGCTATCATGCTGTGAGAAGCCCATCACAAAATGCAGCCCCTAAATCTTGGGCTTCCCAGACTCCGGAACTTGAGCCAAACCAACTTTTATCGTTTAGAATTTATTCACTCTGTGGTACTGCATTGTATCTGTTGTATCGTGTTGCGTTGTTTTGGATCGTAGAAGCAGAAAAAAAGATAAAGACATATTGTTGGAAATATCTCAGATTCTAAAAACAACTGTTTTGTGGCTCAGGTGGAAAAAATTAAGAAGTAAACCACATACCAGGTTTCCCTGAGTGCCATGATTTGTATAGCTAGGTACGTCCCTTGCTAGGAGCTCCAGAAGCTTTGGCCATGGGACTATTATAAGAAACACTCATTCCTATTTTGAACACAGATTTCTAAGCCAAGGTAGCCCTGTGTCTACAAATGTGATTTCATTTCCCTTGCACGTACACTGTCACTGGGATGCAGAGAGGAGTCCTTAACTCTAAAGTATGGGCTTTGAGAACTCCTGAAGACTCATGATTCTTACTGCCAGGTTTGGGTACCATGTTTCCTGTCCTATATCTGCCTACATGAAACCAATGGCAAGCATTCTCTCTGCGTCATATAAGTATGAGATGTCTAAAGGAGCCAAGGCCAACCAAGAGTATTGCAGCATGAAGGGAAATTAGGACAGAAAAGGTCTTCCAAATAGATACTCACATGCACATCTGGAATGGGCTTGGTGAAAAAGGAGATGGCCAGGATGGTGATGACAGAAATAACAAAGAGGATGATGGCAAAGTATAAATAGTGCACTCCACAGATAATTGTGGGGCAATTGCTGGGCTCTGTGCAGCTTCCAGTTCCATAGGCAAACTCAGTAATCATACGGGCAATCCCAATTAGAAATCCTAGGATCAATCCCCAAAAGGCTCCCTGTGAAAGAAAATTCTGGGTTAATGAATGCAGAATTCCCTTAAAGATCTGGGCACTCTAACGTTCTAGGGGGTGAACAGATGCAGAGGATTACAAGTAAAAAAAAAAAAGGCAGCCCCAGGCTTCTGAAGTCAGAACACTGGAGGTCAGGACTAAGTCAAGCTTTGGGTACTGGATTATAAGTCAAGGTTTCAGAACATAATGTGTGTCTAATAGCTGGTATAGAATGTTAGCCTTAAGCCTTAATTTTGACAATTCCTTTTAACTTAAAAAAACAATTTGAATCTCTCCCCCTGTAGCTGCTATCACTACCAAACTAGATTGAGGCATATTCAGATATAAAATAATTACTTGTAAAATAATTTGCCTTCCATGAAAAGATGGAATAAGAAATCGAGTCATGGGGTGGGGGTAAAAGAAAAAGGAACTTTCCTAGAGAAATATACACAACACTTCCTTCTGCAGCCCTCTACCTAGATCCAAAGTCATTTTGCTTGGTTTGAGAACATAAAATTATATACCGTGTATTCAGGCCACCTTTGCGTCAGTGACAAATTCGACTGTGCACTTAGAAGAATGGCCAAAAGGAGTCTGCATGGTGTCATGGAGTGTTGGCCCACCTCTTTGCTAGCCGTTTCTACTCCTACACTTTTTATTCCAAGCGTGCCAAGTTACCAGGCATTCTTTAAACACATCACATATGTTTGTGGTTCAGAGCCTTCGTGCAAGTCATTCTCCTCGTACAGGAGAATGTGGACTCTTTCCTTCCCGATAACTTTTTTCTGACCTAAACAGAACAAGCTAGACACCCTGAGTAGGTACATCTGCCTTGCTTTGGCCACAGCAATGTGGACACAACTCCACATCAGCACCAACTCGCTACTGTGTAATTACACATTCACTTTCTGTAATCGCATCTGGACTGAGGGCTTGTCCAAGGAAAGAACCAATCTTCATTCATTTCATGTTGCTAGTTTGAGCCCCACGTCTGGCATCTGGAAATATTTATTAGATGAATAAGTGATTAGGTGAAAGGAAAATAAGTTCCCCATCCACCCTCCAAACATTTACTCCTTCAAAAAATATTTCTTGATTTTAGTTGGAATGTTTGACACTGATGCAGCCTGCTAAGGCTGTATTTCTTTGACTATTGACCTCTCCCTGGTCTTTATTCTTTACCCTCAAGAGGCTCTTGAGATATTCACAGCATTTGACATTTTCTTCAAGACTTTGAGTTATCCCTGAGCAAACGCAGTGCCTGCCCAACTAATCCTGAGGATCACTTCGCAATCTCATGGAAAAACCTCCGTGGCAGCCTGGCTTTTCGGAACACACCAGAAGGATACCCACCGGCTCATTGACTCTCTTGCAGAAAATACCAAGCAGGAAGACAGCTGCGATGGGGGGTCCCAAGTAACTGGTGATGGACTGGATGTAATCAAAGAGCTGCCCACTCTGCGCTACCTGCACAATGGGCACCCAGGCGATGCTGATGCCGATGAGCAAGAGGATAAACAACCTGAAAGCAGAACACGCAATGGAATGTCGACACGTAACCCTGCACAGCCACTTTCTTTTTGTTGTTCTTGCTGTTGTTGCTGTGAAATTTCTATTTTCATTGGTACACATCTGTAGTGCACAACGATCACATCCCTTGTGAGGAGTGGATACGTGCATGTAACACGTCTTCATTCTTTTTTCACCTTCTTTCTCGCCCTCCCTCCCTCCCTGCCTTGGTCTCCTTCCCTTTGCAAAAGATCCATCTCCCCTTTTCCCCTGATCCATCTTTTATCTCGCTCCTTGTTTATATTTTGGGTTTTCCATTTAAGAGAAACCGTGTGACATTTAACCATATGTGTCTGATTGACTTCACTTCGGATGTCCACCAACAGCTGAATGGATAAAGAAAATGTGGCATTTATACACGATGGAGTACTCCTCTGCTATGAAAAGGAAACACATTTGACTTTCAGCAGTTGCCCCAATGCTGTCGCTGTCATACAGAACCCCACTTCGAGAAGAAGTAGAGTATAGGAACAAGGGCATAGACTTTGCGGCATAGCGGTCCTGAGTTCAAATCCTTATTATCTCCGTGTGATTGCTTCACCTCTTTCTGGGGCTCAAGTGCTCCAGCTGCACACTGAGAATAATGTGACGTGACTGACCTTGCAAGATTGGAATCAGCCTAGTGAGAGTGAAACATCTCACAAATAGTAGGCACTCAATAAAAACAGTAAAAACTCTTATTATTATCTTCTTCTCCCCTTCTTCCTCATAATAAAGTTAAAAGCACCAGAGAAGAAGACTTTATAAGGAAACAGTCTAGAGAGGAAGGGGCACTACCAGATATTTCTGGCTCTCTTTGTGGTTTAAAAGACCAGAGGTTCTCTTACTACTTATGTTCTTGATTTAATTGTAAAGAAGCTGTGATTCCCTTGCCTCGTGTGTATTTTTTTTTCTTTTACTGAGTTTATTGGTACAATCTAGGTATACAGTACAGTTACATTCATCATTGGGATCCTGCACCTTTACATGACAGGTCTTGGTTCTCATTTTTTTCCCCTTGTCCGTGCCCTCCCTTCACCTCCTCCCCTCCTCCCCATTTACAAACACTTTAATTCCGTTTTCTCATATTTTTTTCTTTTCCCTTATTCCCTTTCCCCCTACCCTTCACATTTTCCCTACACCTTTAGCCCTTTTCTTCCTATTTCACAGGATCAATTATCTCATTAGGATCTTATGTACTATTATAGCTTTTCACACCAGAGAAATTATTCAGTATTTACAAACAAATGAGTCTCAAACTGCCCTTCCCAGAGCAGAGTTTTTACATACTTCTCCCTCTAAGATACCCTTCCAATTAGCCCCTATTTACCCAAATCCTGCCCATTATTTTGAACTCAATTCAGATTCTCCCTCCCCCGAGGCCCTTCTCCAACTATACAATACCATGCTCACCTCTCCCTTATCTAAATCCCCGATTGCACTTACAGCCCAAACAGTAGAGTTTGAAAGTGTTTCATATCCCTGTGAGCTTGTCCAGGGCTAAGCTAGTTCTCAGGACAATAGTCTGAGACAACCCAACATAGTCCTGGGGCCAAGGGATGCAGATCTGTGAAAAGCAACAAAATGCTTTTCTTTATTATTTCACAAATGAGCCTTTAAAAAAAAAAAAAAAGAAAGAAAAGAAAGAAAAAAACAGGTCAAGCCAGTAGGTACCTTTCAAGGGAAAAACTAGTCAAGGCAATAGTCTCCTTCTTCCGGTGGTGCAGAGTATTTGATTCTGGGACAGTCAGATCTTCCCTGAGTACCAAGTGTCTTATCACTGAAAGCAGCCTGTCATGTTTACTCTCGTCACCAATGAGATGACTGCAGTCACTGGGAATCTTTCCTTCGACTAGCTTCCCAGGACACAGGCTGGTGGAGACCACCCTGAGCAGGCCGCAATTCATAAATTGGCCTTTCATATCAAAGTCTGAGTCTGCCTATGAGCACTCAATGGCTTGCCGGAAGAGCCAGCGGTTGGGGTGTGGGAACAGAACAACACCCTACACCACTGGTTACAGCAAACGTCTCAGTGATCCTCGACACTGTGACATCTTGGATGGCAAGACAACAGCACAGCGAAGGGCAATGTGACTCGTACAGAACACTCCTATAGAGGCGGAAGTTAATCCATGGGAAGAAACAAATTTTCCATTCATCAATGATCTGTCCCTACTGGAATAGTTTCCTTGTTGCCAGTTCCCTGCTCACATCAGCGCTCTCCACTCCACTGTGGCCCACATGCCTCTTACCCCTTCCAAAAGCTGCATGATCAATAAATAGTGGTAAACTCCAGGAGACGGTGTCTTTGCCAGATAAGAGCTTTGGCCATCCTGGGACCCCCCATTTATGCATGAAGGTCTTGTCTTGTCTTTTTTAATCCATCTGCCGTACCCTCGGTCAGGTGACCGGGAGTCTGATCAGCTTCCAATAACATTCTACCTGCCCTGAGAAGACGGACTTGCCTTCATCCCGTGGAAAGACAGAGCAGAATTTTGTGAATCCGCTATGCAGAGTGCCTGCTCAGTGGATAGTTATAATCCTGAGCACACCTGAACTGTCTGTCAAAACTGATATTTGCAGTGTACTGTTGTTTTTATTTACCCACTTGACAATCCACAATGTACCCCAAGCCTTGCACGTTCATTCACAAGTGAAATCTCATTTGAGCTTCGTAACGGACAATGTAAAAATATTTCATCAAGAGGTTGGGAAATCAGAGGCATTTGGGCCTCAAAGAGGGTCAGTGTGGAGAGGTACAGTATGCAGGGCTAAGAAGGCAACAGAGAAGAGTCTAAGGGGTCTTGGACAATGAATTAATAAGCCACAGACTCTAGTCCCGGCTCTGGCACTGCACAGAGTATCTGGGTTTAGGGAGGATACGCTTCATTTTAGCCTGCAAGTTATATCAGATGGTCTGTCAGTTCCTTCTAACTATAGTGGGGCACTGTTTAGTGATCTTGAATTTAAAGCTAAATGGCTGGGAGAGTGATGCTGGAGGACTTCAAGCCCAGCCTCGGCAACTTAGTGAGACCCTGTCTCAAATTTTAAAACTAAAATAAAAAAATAAAACATAAAAGGGCTGGGGATGTAGCTCAGTGCAAAGGCCCTGGGCTCAATCCCCAGTACCACACACACAAAAAGTTTAATATCACTGAGGGGCAAATATAACTAGACAAAGAAATTATTCCAATCGTACAGCCAGCCGGCTACCAAATCTTCCCTGGCTTGTGGGAACGGAACCTCTCGGATAGTTCAGTCTTCAATGGTGCATAGCACTGCAAAGCTGCATTTACCTTCCTGCAATCATGAGCTCTTTCTCAGATGCTCTCTTCCGTATCTTGGTGTAGATATCCATGGTGAAGAGGGTGCTGGCGCTGTTGAAGATGGAGGTCAGGGAGCTCATGAGCGAGGCCATCATGACGGACAGCATCAGGCCTCGCAGCCCTGGGGGAGAAAAAGGAGTTTCTGAGTGGCCCATCCAACAGCCGAATCCTTTTGTGTGAGGGCTCGAGTTTTGTTGGCTTTCTGAAACCATGCTGTGTTCTCCAACTTCTCTCCCCAGAAAGAATGTCCGTTTTAAGAAAGATTGCGACTTTAAATTATATCGTAAGCCCATAGAAGACAACAAAGAACTAAAGACAAGATGCCTATGAAGGAAATACTTTCAGTGATGACGGTGGTGATGGTGGTGGCATGTTTCCATCTGAGGGGACTTTTCTAAGATCCCCCACTGAGAATATTCATGATACAGTTGAAAGATATTTATACTAGGATCCAATTTATGAGATTCTCAAGAAAGTGAAAGGACAGTCTTAGATTGGGAGAAAATACATACAAATTATATAATCTGGTAAGCCTATAATAGATAGATCATATAAGATAGATAGATAGATCCTATAACTCAGTAATAAGAAGACAAGCAACCTGTGAAAAATGACGGAGGATCTGAATAGCCATTTCTCCAAAGATATAGAAATGGCAAATGAAAAGAAGCTTGATAGCAAGAAGATTCTAAGCAAAATCACAGTAATTAATATTTCAAACCAGCTAGGCTGGTTATAATTTTTTTAAGACAGATAACAAAGCATAAAGAGAGAAATAGGGACCTCTCACATTTCTGGGAGAAATGCAAAATGGTAAAACACTGTGGAAAAATATCTAGCTGTTCTTCAAACAGTTAAACACATAGTTACCATATGGCTCATCTATTGCAATCCTAGGTATCTAAACAAGAGAAATAAAACTATATTTCTACACAGACACTTGTGAATGAATGTTCATAGCAACATTATTTATACTAGCCAAAAATTAGAAGTGATTCAAGTGCCCATCAACAGATCAATGGATGAACAAAATAAAAGATGAATAAAAAGCTATTAAAGAGATTGTCATGCAATGGAATATATTCATTAACCAAAAGGAATGTAATACAAATATGTGATATAATTCAGATGAATTTGGAAAATACTATGCTAACTGAAAGAAGGCAGTCACAAAGAATTATTTATTATCATGATTCTTTTTGTATGAGATGTCCCATATAGGTAAGGTTATAGGCAGAAAGTATATTAGTTGTTGCCTAGGGTCAAGAAGTTGGGGTAAAATAGAGTGACTGTTCATTTCTTTAGCAAGTATAGGATTTCTTTATGGAGTGATGAATATTTTCTAAAACTGATAGTGGTGGTGGTCATACAACTCTATGAATATACTAAAATCATGGAATTATATACCTTCAATGGGTGAATTGTATGATATGTGAATTATATTTCAACAACTTGTTAAAAAAAAAAAAAAGACAAAGTTCTGTTTCCAGCTCTGGCCCTAATCAAGTTATTCCAACTTCAAGGCCTCACTTCTTAGCATGCTAAAATAGGATAATACACCTGCCCAAATCAAAATGAGGAATTGTTACTTTTAATTTTCCCAGTTAGAGCGAGGATGTTTGGCTATAATTTCTGTTATTCTTTCTAAGCCAAGAAAGGCACAAGGTTGTACTTCTAAGTTAAGGCTTGGAAGGCCAGCTCAAAGTGAAGGTCCACTATCACATTACAGATTTACAATCTCATAAGTAAAGACCTTACGGATTATGTGGGTCTATCACCTATCTGATGTATAAACCCTTCCACAAGACCTCCTCTGTCCAAACACTCCGGCGACCAGAAATCAATCTGCCACCCACAGGAAGCCTGCGCCCTCTTAGACTGTTCTAACCAGGCTGACGTCTGCATGTCTACTATTCAATGAGAGAGGTCTTGTCCTTCGTGCACTTTACTATCTGACATATATTCAAAGACAACTCATGTCCTCTTTAAGTCTTTCTTCTTTAAGCTAAATATCCTCTGTTTCTTCTAATGTTCTTATATAACTGGGTTTGGGGGACCCAAATATGTTGAACTTGATGCCTATCTTTATTAAATTTCAGCTTATTAGATTTGAATCAACAGTCATGCCTTTTGAGATCACTTCTGAGACATAATTCTGTCATTCCTTCAGGTTTGTATCTGTAAATCATTTTATGTGTTCATCTACCATATGCTGCCTACTCCAATTATCTTGTCATTTATCGGGGCTTTTTAAATGGTTCTGACACAGAAACCACCACAGGGACAGAGGACAAACAAACCCCAATTCTTAGACCCTTAACCTGTTATTCAGTAGAAGCATGATTTGTGTTTTCTTCTGAGACAGACAGGATTTAAAAGCAGTTTGGCTTTTTTAAAAATTACTCTTCATTTGGGCCTATAGATGTCTAGTAACTAAAAGCAGCACAAAAGCTCAACCTTCATTTTATATCCTGTATTACCTTAAAACTTTGTGTCAAATCCCTTACCTCTGCATGAAAGCATATTAATCATTTATGGAGTATCAGAAACTAAAATGAAAGTTGACAAAACAAGGTTGGTTAGCCCTGAATTTGGATAATCTATCTCATCTCTCTTCAAGACGGAGGACACCAAGATAAGAGATTTATAGGGACATTCAACCGCCAATGAGAAGCTGTTAATCTAAGCTTACAAGTCACCGTGGATTCCAGCAGAGCCTCCGCAAGACTGAGACTTCCCCACGCAGAAACAATCATAGAGAACACATTGCCCCCTCATACAATAAGGATTTCTCCCAAAGCTATTTTAGTAAAGCAAAACAAGATAATAATCAACGAGATCCTTGCCCACCTCAGTTAATCAACAAAGGCTGGTCTCACTCTTTTGTTAATGGGCCAGCCTGATCTTCTTTGTCCGAGTCGTGTCCTTTTCAGCTCCTCAAACTGAAAGGCCATTCCCTGTTTTCTCTTACTTTATAACTCTGCCTAACATATCTGCTATACACCCTGAAATGGTTTTCTGTCTCAAGAGTTGACAAACCTACCCAGCGTGAGTTGAGGTCCCCATCTCTTTTTTGGGAGAAAGAGAGAGAGAGAGAGAGAGAGAGAAAGAGAGAGAACTTAATTTCAGAAGGCACCCAGAAATTCAGAAAGAGTCTATATCCAATCAGCTTCCCCAAAAAAAATTCCTCCACGAAAGACTCTCACCATCAGGCATGAGTTCCACCACCAAGGTTGGGTAGGCAATGTTGGTACAGCCAACTGAGGTACCACAGTGTTTCACACATTCTGAGGGGACGGTACAGGCGATTTTTTCTGGGGAAAAGATGAACAGCCATGTTAGTAAGTAGACACTGGAGAAGTAGCCCCAAAGTTCACTTTCTTAAAACAAAACTTCACACACAAGACATTCCTGCCCAAGGTCCTGAAATGGTACCACAAAGAGCCTTGTGTGCTATGCCGCTGCCCTTTTTATTTAATTTTGGGGCTGGGGGTGGGGGGTACTGGGACCAAACTCGGGACCTTGCACTTGTGAGGCAGGCAGCAGAACCTCTGAGCTAAATCCCCGGCCCAACTCTGCAATAACTGAGCAACAAGACCACAGACTTCTCCCCCTAGAGGTGAAATGCAGTCTCGCCCATACTGAACACATGTCCCAGTCTGTATGGGTCAGTCCTGCATCACCCTCCCAGCCTCTGGCGACAGCAGACTCCCACCATTCCACTGTCATGTACAGCCCAACTCAGGCAGTCGCCACGGCCCTTCTGATCCTGAAACAGTCCCAGCCTCTGATTAAAAAGAAAGGAAAGTTCCTAGGCAGAGGTGGAGAAGGAGGAAGAGTGAACATCAGTCTTTGACTAATTTCCCTACACCTCAGCAGCGATGACTGTTATCGTTTTCTCTGAAAATCACAGTGATTCATGGCTCCTTATTTTGAGGTTTCTTTTAAGCAGCTCTTAGAAGTAGTTAAATGCCTAGATCACTGAGGAAATTCCCCAGGAGCAGGACTATTGAGTACTACTTCCAAGATGCAGGGAATCTTGGGAAAGATTAAGAAAAACAAAAAGGAAAGAGCCTTAGAGGGAAAAGAAGTAAGATGGGTCTTAGGATTCTAGAAACTTGCATAGAATTCAGATCAGCAAACATTCTTTAAGTACTTACTATAAGTATGTCTCACTTAGCACTGAATTATTACAGCACTATTTTATAATAGATGTGTGTAGTGCTCATTATAGTATGAACTAGTCATTTAGGTCTCTGGTTGACCCCAGCGTCCATGGGGGATTGGTGCCAGGAAACCCTTTCCAGTGGATAATGAAATCCGCAGGTGCTCTAGTCCTTTATACAAAATAGCCTAATATTTGCGTGTACCACCTGCATTATCTACCTGTATAATTTAAATCATCCTAATAACATATATTACCTAATGCAATATAAATGTTATATAAACAGTTGTCATACTGCATTGTTCGGGAACTAATAAGAAACAAACTCTACACAACTTCTACATACATACAATTGTTTTCAGATACGTTTAATCTACAGTTGAATCGAAAGTATGCAAATAATAAACGCAGAGGACTGACTCTATTTTTCTCATGACAGATGAGCCACTACAGGAGTACACCAATAACTGTATCTTATTGGGACATGAAGCCTCTCTCTCCCTCTCTCTCTCTCTCTCTCTCTCTCTCTCCCTCTCTCTCTCTCCCTCCCTCCTCCTCCACTATTTTACCTTCCAGGAAGCAGTTTTGATTCTTGGTGATACTAACGAGGCCACAAAAGGATCAAGGAAGAGTGTGTCACTTTGGACAGCAAAGGATGGAGGCTCAGGGCGCTATCAAGAAAATGGTCCAGGAAACGGGGCTCAGAGCAGGGGGCAGTTAGAGACCGGCTGGGGTCCTTTGACATTAAATTATAAAGGACATCATACACACCACAACTTTGGAAATGATTCAAATCCAAACAAATGAACAACAACAGCAAAATAAGCGTGGCCTGTGGGGCCAGTGGAGGGATTACCCGTGTACAGGATGCGGCTGATCATTCCGCACATCACCATGAGAAACATTGGCAGGAGCTTGAGGTAGCCGCACAAGGTACAGCCGGCTTTCACGTGAGACATGTTCTTGGCTGAGAGGCAGCGCTGCACAATGACCTGCCAGGGGAAGCCCAGGGAGGGAGAGGTGCAGGCTGGAGATCCTGTGACACCTCCTCTTATCCCTGCTCCCCCAGGCCTTGGCCTGGGACTCCAAGGACTCTGCAACCCACAGACCACGCGAGCCCTCCCCTCCTCCCCCAATCCCACGAGCCGTATACAGGCAGGAGTCCCCCTAACACCGTGGAGAAGACCCACCCTGTATGCACAGCTTGGTTACCTGATCTGTGCACCAGTACCACAGGGCAATGATGCTCATCCCAAAGATAAGCCCGGGCCACGGAATGTCCCCTGTGATGGGATCCCGGAACATATGGAAGGAGTCAGGCCTCGGGGTGTAGCATTCTTCCTTGATAGTGGTATTTCCATCAGAAACTATGGTTGGGATTGCTTTCATGTACTTTTCCATGAAGCCTTCATACCCTCCCACTTCGCTGAAAGCTGCAAAACATTGGCACAGAAGTGAACATTCTAAAACATTAAGCTCTTCATAATTGCTCCTTTTGTGGATGCCTGAAAACCTGAGGGGATTCCACAATGAAAGAAACCCTTGGGCTTTCTTTGTGTGGTCTTGGGCAGGCCTCCCGTTTCATTCATAGAATGGGATTATTAACCTTCCCCAGCCTCCTCGGGGGTATTAGGAGAATTGAAAGCAATAGCTTGTGTGAGTGCTCCAACCACGAACTTGTTCACAAAAGGGAAGGTGTTTTAATTATTCTAATGAAAACCTCGGCTTTGGACCACATGCAGAGGCTCTACTTTTTCCTGTAGCCCCTCTTGTCAGCCATGGTCCTTGGAACTCAGAACACAGGCTGAGAGACATACACAGTGGCCTCTGGGAGCCTGGACCCTGACCTACCACCCCTGCTCCCAGCAATGTAATGTGACGCCCAAGAAGGGGTGAAGAATCTGGAACACTGCCACCTCTCAACTCTACATCCTTGAATAAGTCATTCTAGCCCCTGCCTTGCCCCAGGGCCTACTGGAAAAAAACAAATGAAAGTTCTTGGAAAAATGAGCACTAAAGAGGAGATAACAATGTTTATTTTCTCTCATTGAGTTTATCGGTACATTTTAGGTCTACAGTACAGTTACATTCATTACTGGGATCTTGTACCTCTACACGACAGGTCTTGGCTCTCATTTTTCCCCTTGTCCCTGCCCTCCCTTCACCCCTCCTCCCTCCCCCTTTACAAACACTTCATTTCCATTTCTTCGTTTTCTCATATTTTTTTCTTTTCCCTTATTAGCTTTCCCCTCCCCTTCCCACTTTCCCTACCCATTTGCCCATCCGTTGGAAACTGGATAAAGAAGATGTGGTTTTTCTGTAAAATAGAATATTAGCCATAAAGAATGAGAAATTAGATTCATTCGTAGGAAAATGGATACATATTGAGGATATACTCCTCAGTGAAATGAATAAGTCACACATGTGTAAATACCGAATAGTTTCTCTGGTGTGAATAAACTATAATAGTACATAAGATCCTAATGATATAATGGACAATGTGAAATAGAAGAAAGGAGATAACAATCTTTACAGGACACACAAAGGGCCTTGTGCACCTAAAAACAAAACGCACTTTATGTTCTCCCATAACAAGCATCCCAAGACAGGATTTTCAATGGTATCTTTAGGGTTTCATAGCCAGGAAAATTTTCAAGAAATAGGGAGGCTGGAGATCCCAATACTGAGTGACTGATCTTTAAATTTTGTCAAATGGGAGCAGTGAAATGAAAATTATCACCTACTGTCAACAATTTATAAAAGGATGGACACAACATCAAATATAGGCAAGATATAGTCTAAGATGGAAAGTACCCATTATCTGTTATACATTTTGATCCTTATTTACACTGTCAGTTTCTCTCACCAGAGACACGTGTGTCCTATTTATTTCACTTAAGAATATGGCCTCAATGTGCATCCATTTAGCTATAAAGGGAAAAGGAAAGAAGGGAAAGGAATAAATACAAGAAAAGGAAAAAGCGGAAACAAAGTCTTTGTAAACAGGGAGGGGTGGAGGGGTTGAAGGGAGGGCAGGGAATGGGGAAAAAATAAGAACCAAGATACATCATGTAAAGGTGCAAGATCCCAATGATGAATGTCATCCTACTGCATATCTAAAATGTACCAATAAACTTAATGAATTTTTAAAAGACTAAAAATACAACATTTGAGTATATTTCAATAGATGGATATTTAGCCTTATTCTTTTCTGCCCAGTTTCCCTGCAAGAGAGAATGCCACGGTATCAGAGATCCACACTGGGAGCCATGACCCAGGCTGCAGAGAGAGGACAGCACGCAGTCCAGGTGTTGTATGAGTCGGCTCCAGCTAAGTCCTCCAGGGGTGAGGAAGCTGGCCCTTCTTGTCCACAGTGATGGCCCATCTGGGCGGGATCACTGCCCTTGGGAGCGTGGGGCAAGCCTAAACTACAGGGACACAGAGAGGCTGGCCTTGCTTTTCTCTTCCTGGGGCCCCCACCTCCTCAGTCTGCCCTGGCCCCACTTACCAAACCCAGTCAGGATGAAAGACCCCACCAGCATGATCGCTGTCTGCAAGGTGTCCGTGTATATCACAGCCGCCAGGCCCCCTGAGCAGGCAAAAACACAACATGTCTGACCTCCTGTGGAAGGCGGCCTGGTCCCCTCCACACCCTGCCCTACACCTTCTGTACACCTTCTGGAAACCACTCCCACCTCTCAGCCACCACCCGCCTTTCCTTTCCTCTCCCCTTATCCTTTTAGGGTAATCTGCTGTTCACCACGTTCCCAGCTTCCACTTCCCACAGCAGTGTTTCCAAGTCCCTGGGAGAACGTTTCTCTATATCCAAGTGGGAGGAACCTGGTGGGACCTTTTAAACCAGTAGATGGCTCTTCCATGGCTAAGAGGGAGCGTCTTCCGAATGAAGGCAAAGAAAAGCAGAACTGACTAGAGAGGTGCCTGGGGACATTACCAGATCAGCACATTTCAGAGGGCCCCTTCTATGTCCACTGTCTCATAAACCATCTAAGTATTGTTGTCCTCAAAGATGCAGGGCTCCAGATGAGTATCAAGTTTCATTGCTAGTCCTGTCCCCTTCAAACTAGGCAAAGTAATACTTCTACAGAGGAACCCCCAATTCTTATCCATGTGCTAGTTCTCTGGCCATGTCTTAAGTCTTCTCCAAAAATTTCTCTTCCCCCCACTCCCTACATTGGCTTCCAGTCCCTAAGACATCAAATCTAAGGCCTCTGTCTGGTCTCCAAGATCCTTGTACTTCGCTTGAATTATCAAGCTTTCTGCCCTATGCTTATGCCCACTACTTCCCCGGGACCATCCTCCTCCCGCCAAAAGCACCTGCTTGCCCACCCTTCCTCAGCCACGTGCTATGCCCATTTGTGTACACATGCCCCGCTCTCCCGAATCTCCACACCCAGCACTCCGCTGATTCTCCTAGTTAAGTTATGCTAGTTCCACAGCCACGGGACCAAGCTCTGCCTAGCTCCTTTGAGAAGGTACCCTGAAAATTCCAGCCAACACTGGAGCGTGCAGAGATCACTCATATAACCTTGAGCGGAGATCAAGCAAATGCCTACTCTCCAACCTTCCTGGGTGTATCTCTCTTCTGCAAAAGGAGAAACCATGGGTTCTACTTCCTTTTTTATCCCTCACAAATGCCTGACCCTAAGCTGGGCCTCAGTCGCTGGTTCTGTGGAATGGACGCACCTGTGATTGTGTAAAGGGCAGTGATCGCCAATAAGATGATGATGGCCACGTATATATCCAGGCCCAGGGCCAGATTGATGAATACGGCCCCGGAGAAAATGTCTGCCTGGAAGGAGAGGAGAGAGAATTAGAAGCAAAAGGAGCCAGTTGGCCCCAGTATTCATGCGCTATTCCTGAGTTTCCAAGCAGATTTTTCAAGATGGTAATCTGTATTCCATGAGAAAAAGGATCCGAGGGTCCTTCCCTTTTTATTGGGATGTTTGTGATGCACTGTGCACGGACTCGTCATGGTGAATCGGTACGTGTGCGTATCGCGCGTCCTGATCCTTTTCGCTTCCTCTACCCTCCCCTTCACCCCATTCTTCCCACCTCCAGACCCTAAGTCCATCTCCCGGTGTCCTATCCAAAAGGCCTGTGAAATGCTGAATTCAACCAAATTAAAGCAGCGTCTTGGCCATACCAGCTTAACTGAACCTTTAATATACACAAGTGCTGTGAATCCCTAGGAGGGGGCCGTGGTACACGAGGCTTCACGAACCTTTCAGGCTTGAAACTCTTTGGCCGAGGAGCGATCTCTGACACCTGCAGCTTCCTCTCGGTCCACGGCAGACCATTGCCCTTGGCGATGATTACCTGTCATTTCTATCTCAGTGTACACGCGTTTGTCAGACTTACACCCGAAGGCATTGTCTGAGCACCGGAGGGTCCATGAATGAGAAACCCGACCGCTGCCCAGAATGGAGAAAGATTTTAACTTGATCTCCCCGAGCCACTAGGGGTTCGCCTAGGCTCAGCCAGAGCACCAAGCACCTTTCACATGGCAGACTTGGCCCTACACGGTTTTATCCAGTTGCCTCCGTTGTTTTTAGGGGAATTATTCCCTCTTCATTCCTGAACTCACTAATTATGCTCTTAATGAGCTTCCTCCACTGCCTCTCTTCGATCTTCTCCCCAGTCTCATTTTAGCTGCTTCATAAAGAACCTTCTACCAGGCAGATGGTGCCGTTGCAGACATACACCAGCAGAGGGCGCAAGGACGCCCCAACATAAATGTTCGGGTCATCTTCAAAATTCTGCACTACCAGGAAGGGTAGTAAGTACTAAGGGATGATCGTGACAAAACTTTTCAAACTTCAGGCGCAGAAGAAACGACTTCCCCTATATGGAATGCAGGAGCTTTTTACTGAACAGAACCTATTTCAGTGCATGCAAAATGTGCCCAGTCAGAGCCCTGGGGAATGAGCTAACTAGGTAGGACAGAAAATCCTAACTCTCACCTCCAGTCTCGTCTCCCCCCACCCCCATCCCGTCACAGCTCCTCAGGGCCCTCCAAGGACTCATCCCCCCCACCACACCCTCCTGTTCCTCGGCTATGGTTTGAATGAATCCTTCAAATGTTCACGTGTTGGGAATCCTCAAATCCAGTCCTTTGGGAGGTTACGGTGAAATAAAATCATGAGGTCGCGGGCCCACATAATGGCGTGATGGGCTAAGAAGAGGCAGAGATCAAGTGTGCAAGCGCCCTCTCGCTGTATTATGCCCTCACCATGGAATGACCCAAGATAGCCCACAGCAAAAGCCAGGGCTACGCCCTTGACTTTCCCAGTTTCCAGGACTGTATGGAATAAATGTCTGTTCTTCGTATACTACCCAAGCTCAGGTAGTCTATTATAGACACACAAAAGGGACGAAGCCACCCCTCCCAGTAGAATTTCCTATCCCCTGCATCTGTTCTTTGGTTTAATATCAACTCCATGCTTGTATGCTAATGCTTGGGCTCCAGAGAATAAACTGGCCTCCTCCTCAAGATGAGCCTTCTGAGAATCCCATTCCTTATATCCCGTTGACTCAGACTTCTACAGATGCTCTCACCACGGAAGACATAGTGTCATCATCGTTTCCAGCGAAGAAAGATAGTCAGAGCTAAGAGGTGGTGGTGACTTAGAAAGAGACACCCCTACCCCCACCCCAGGGCTGATGGCCAGAGAACCTGAATTGGAGGGATGGCCTGAGTGACCCTGGACAACACACGCTGCCTCTCCACTTCTCAGTGTCCTGGCATTTAAAGCATGATGTCTTGCCTCTGGGGCTTGTGAGTCACAGGGGCTGAAAGTGGGCAAGGCTTGCCATCAGGGAAACGCATCCCTTCCCTGGTCTGGGATGGTTTCCACCCTGCCCTCTGCTGCAGCCCAAGAGGAGGAAAGAGGTCCTGCTGTGCACCGGCCTTGCTGAAGGCCTTCCTGACTCTGCCCATGGCACCCACTGAAGTAGTGACGAATATTCATAATCCTTGTTGCTGCCTTCCCTCCCATGCCTCCACACAGCTGCACCAAGTTATCTAAATTAGAGGGACCCTGCCCATTAATTTTAGCAGAATGCTATTAAACACACATACACTTTTAATGGATTAGATAATAGGCATAAATGATCTAGAAAAGTATGCCAAGGCTGCTACTGCCTTGCAAATGTTCTCAGTTGGTTTATTTTCAGAGTAATATTTAGTGTTTTGTGACAACATGCATGGTACACTGTGATACCTTCACTAAATTTGCCTTGCTGTCATCAGCCACAAATAAGTAATATTCAACCTCTAGATGATGCTATAAACTAAGTCTATAAAGATTTCTTGGTAGTGATGCACTAATAAAATCTTGTTTTCATGTTATTTTATTTCTATCTAGTACAGATAAAGTAGTCTAAGAAACCCTCCCTGGTGAATTAATGAACCCTAGAATAAATTCTTCTCCCGTGATTCATTACTAAGTTCAGAGATAAATTCTGCCCTATGAACCTCAGAAGTCAGCAGGAATTGCCTAAGAGAACCATAGCTAAGCTCATATAGGTACCGGCAGCGGAGCAAACCACTTTAGCCCGCGGGCTCTGATATTAGTCTTAGTTCTCTCAGCTGCCCCAATTTTTTCCTGCTTTATTAGAGTTTTCCCCCCTTCATTTCCAGAGAATTTTATAGTTTTCAAAGGGCTCCCCAGGGCTCTTATTATTTTAATCCTCAAAAAATAATGAAAATTAAGGAAACCTTTCATGGAATATTTTCTGCAGAGAACAGAACCTTTTACTAAAAGAAAAAAATGCTTTTCAAATAAAACTTTTAAAATAAAATAACTTGTGTGAGTGGTTTTAAAAAAACCCAGAAATTTATACACTGAAAAGTAAAAAGTTATATGATGAAAAGTCACCGCTCTGCTCAAAAGTGACCTCTGTTGAGTGTTCTGCTCACCAATGATTATTAAAGGGCCTGATGAAAATTGGATATCAATAATATGTAATAATCATGAAGATGAAAACTAAAAAAGAAGTTTCAACTTGATGATAAGAAAAGGGAAAAGACAGGGTCGGGGATTTGGCTCAGTGGTTCCGCCTTGTGCCTCACAAGCGTATAAGGGCCTGAGTTCGATTCCCAGTACCCCTCCCAAAAAAAGCAACCCGAAAAGGGGAAAGGCAGATAAAAAAGTGCATGTCTTCTGTGTATGTATATAGAGCTGGGGATTTAACCCAGGGCTTTGCACACGCTAGACAAGCGCTCTACCTCTGAGCCAAACCTCCAGCTGGTGTGTACCCTGTGATCGCAAGGCTATAGAAGAATACGTACCACACGAGCGAGGTCAGAATATCAAAGTGTTTGTATTAGGGTTATAGGGTTATGGGTGCCTTTCCCAGCCACAAGATTCTCTTAAAAGCCATTGCTATTTTCCTTGCAGAAATTTTAAATCCTATTCTATACAGATAGATGGGTGGGTGGGGATATATATGTATCTATCCATCCTGACTTTCAGTCTACTCTCTACTGAATGTACAGAGATCTGTACTGGATGGATGAAGACCTAAGGACAAATGATTTGCCTTTGGTGTCAGAAACTTGCTTCTCATATATTTGATATATATACTAAAAATATAGAAGAGAAGAATGCATATTAACCTCAAGGCAGCCTTTCATTTTTAAGAGAGAACTAGAATCAAGAGAGGTGACAAATAAGTTGTATTTTGTCTCTTTTTAAGAGCAATAAATTGTGTAGAGCTATAAAATCTGCATGGCACAAATAAAGGTGTCTGCTATATTGTTATTCTTTGTGCTTTTCTGTATGTAATTTTTTCATTTATGGAAGTAGGGGACCGGGTAGGGAATGGAACACCAGCTTTGATATATAAGAACCGTCCTTTAATCTTGTGAAGCCATTTGTTTCACACATCATCCCAGATTGCTCCTTCCCTGAACTACTGTTAGCCCTGAGGGGGAAAAACGAGAGAGAGAGAGAGAGAGAGAGAGAGAGAGAGAGAGAGAGAGAGAG